TTTTTTTTTTTTTTTTTTTTTTTTTTTTTTTTTTTTTTTTTTTTTTTTTTTTTTTTTTTTTTTTTTTTTTTTTTTTTTTTTTTTTTTTTTTTTTTTTTTTTTTTTTTTTTTTTTTTTTTTTTTTCCGGTCAGCGATCAACTTCCATAGCACGATTGTCTTTACGCGTCGAAAGAGTTTTAACAACACGTACATTATTAATTGCATTGCTTCCAACGAAAAATACCAAACGGTTACTAATAATTTCATATTGTTCTACAAATGACCAGATTATGGTTGTTTATAAACTGCTCATTTTGTACATTCTGGAAAAGGATTATGATTATTTAGAATACAGAAAAGCACTGGAGGGCTATCCGTCGAAAGAAAAGGATGTCTTCATTTGGGATGTTTTAATGCGAAGTCATATTCATGTCACGCATGAGGAAAACAGTGAAAATTCCCATGCAGCCGGCCATTCGTAGAGATTTAAAACCTGGCTCAAGCTAACAAAGTACAGCGGTTTTAACGCTCATATTCGTGCTTAAAAGATAAATGAAAGACGTTCCACTTGAACTAAATTATCTAGTTTTATTTTATTCAAACACGATATTATACTTTTCCTTAAACAAAAATTTCTCTTTCAAATTAAAAAAAAAAAAAAAAAGTAGAGTTGCATAGTATAAATTTCAGTCAGTAGGCTTCTAGTATACAACTTATAAACAAGCCAGGCCTGTGTGAGCGAGTGGAATACGTAAATGCATCCGGGGGGGGGTGCGCAGCTTTTTCCTGATATACCAGTGTAGATAAGGTTGCCATTTACGACAGAAGAAAAGATATGGATTTTTCATGGGTCGGGTTATTTAATTATGATAAAATATAAGAGTTATCTAAAGACACATTCCTTCGTGCAGTTCTATCTAAGGAAAACATTTGGCTCACATTTGTTTTACACTTTGGAGCAGTGGCGTAGCTAGGGTGGGGCAAGCATCGTCCCCGGGCGCAGCCATTCAAGGGGCTCCAAATTGATGCAACGAAATTTTGAAATGTTTTCCATTCTTGGCACACAGAAAGGGGCGCAAATTCTTCAGTTGTCCCGGGGCGCTGGAAACTCTAGCTATGCCCCTGCTCTGGAGAAAAGATGAAAACATCCATGCAGCATGTTCGGTTGTTGGCAAAAGGAAAAATGGCCTGTAGAGTTCACACGCGGGATTCTCTTTGTGCAGACATTAAATTATCGATGAGTAGAAAATACTTCTTTGTTTACCTGCTTAATTCTTTTAAACTGGAAGCATATATTATAGAATGATTTCTTTACTTTTTCAGAAGATATTAACTTCTAAGTGAATGCAATGTTTTTTACTCTTGGAGAACAAAGACCGTCAGAACCTAATATCAAATTGCGGTCAGAATATATAAAGTTTTATCCAAAAATGTAGCCAAAACAGCAGCTTCTGTTGCATAAATTTCATGAAGAAACTGAGGTCGTTACAGCCTGTTACAGAAACAGTTGATGATCCGTAGATGAAATCAGAAATAAAAGATTCTGATAGAATGTAACAAATAACTGTATCCATAAAAATATTTTACCTGTTCCATTTAATTCAGCTTAACGATAATTGAAATAGTCGTAAACAACATATTTCGTCTAACATTTCTACAGATTTTATGAACAGCTTCTGATCTGGAAGGTACCATATTTTATCTTGGCTATCCACCAGTAGTCAAATTGCACTGGATACAAGTGAATTCTCATGTTTATTTAAATGTAAATATCAGCCACTTTCTCGTTTTCCCTTAAGTCCTTCAAATCTGATCAAATATTTTGGCTAGTTTAGCTAAAATTAATTATTTTAGGCTTGTGTTTCGCGACATTAAATAAAACTTGTTAATTTACTTATAGTTGCAATTTTTTCATTGGTTTAAATAATATAAAAAAGGTAACACACAAATCTGATAAAATATTTTCGCCAGTTTAGCTATATTATGTGTAATGTGAAAACAACATTATACAAAGCCAAGGAAAGAAAGAATAAAATAATATATAGTGGTATCTAAATTTTCTTTAGAATTTCCAGAAGCATCAAAAAACCCTAGACATGACTTAGAATGTTCTGTTGATGTTTATAAGCTGCAAATTTACCCAACACTCTAGAAGACTAGCCTGCAATGTTAGGCAAATCCGTAGCCTATAAAAAACAGTGTAAACGCTGGACATTTGTTTAATCCTTGAGATCCATTGCTTACACATATGATGCACTTGATTTATGAAATTTTTGTTAATTCTCTTTTCATGAATACAGTGTAATTAGTCAGCATGACAACTGCTTTCTCTTAAAATTTTACTGTATTCTAAGTCATTTTGATTCACTATTTTTTATTCTTGAGCATGAACTGCAATTTTTTTAAACATAATATTTTTAATTACACAATTCTTCTTGAAATAAAATAAAAAAGAAAGAAAAAATAAATAAACGATTGGTTATTAACTATGTAATATATGGCTTTAAAAATACTTTTCATTAATTGCATTACAATCAAATGCCGACAAAAATTACCATTTGGGTACATTATAAATACAATCTATTTCAAGTTAATATAATTATTATTAAAAAATAAAGAACTAAAGTATGAAGGAATGTGCTATTGCTTTTTTCTCCCCTTCTTAAACAATTTCATAATAATCTAGTTAAATATCTTATGCTTTCTCGACTCTGAGAACTAGCTATGCACAAGATGTCACATGGGATATAAAATTAAAAAGTTCAGGTTTCGGACAGTGGCAACGTTTGCTAAGGCGAATGAAAGATTTATGTATGGTGGCGGTTATTTATGTATGGCTGGTAAACGTTATATAAGCTAACGAAAGTAAAAGTCCAAATATTTTGAAGACACTGTTAAGGACAGTTCTAAAATTCGGTTTACACAAAACAGGACAATCCAATTATTCACATTTTGTTTTAAAAAATCTTTGTCTGTGTCCTCCTCCAATCACCTGTGCGGACAGTTCAGTTCAGGTATCTGGAATTTAATTACCTATGTATTTTTTAAATTCCTACTATTAGCTTATACTCTCCCTATATCTTGTTCAAATTTTCAATCGTTAATAAAATAGTTTTTATTTATCCACTCAAGTTCAAGTACATTTTTTTAAAACTTGCAATGGATGATACTTGATGTTAATGCAATTTTTTCACATATTATAGTCAATTACTACTTATTTATTTCTGTTTATCGGAACTAAAGATATGCTGTTTTTATTAAATATATTATAAGACTTAAATAATGACCGTTTATTAGGAATTCTCACGTGTTGTAAAAATTAATTTTATAAACAACTTATAAATAATAGTATGTGACTGTGATAAATGGGATTGTAATATTTAACAAAAATAAGTGTCAACAGTAAGACAGAGTTCTAAAAATAAGTGGCAACAGTGAGATTTTTAAATTGTATGGAATTAAAGAATCGTATTTTTATAGAGTTGGATGAAGCGGATTTAATGTCCCATTATGTAGCGAAAATTCTCCCCATATTTCTAAGTTAACGTGATAATAATATATGTTTAAAATATAACCCTTTAAAATGACCCTTGCTTCACAAACGAAGAAAGCGAAAAGAAACTACAACACAACGCAAGCGACGATTAGAGAAAAACATAAGCGCCAAGAAAAGCTTCCTACGAAAACTCTTCGCAGCAGGTCAAGCATATGTCGCTTTTTTGTCGTGTAAAATCATTAGATGGAATATTAATCAAAGAATTGGACTGCTCGAAACTCACTGGAAAGGTTCCTTGCAATAATGAAGTTTTAAAAGAGATGGATAGAATGAGAAATTATTGACCACCATCAGCTTCATAAATTGGAAACGAAAAAATGTTAATAATGTTCATAAGAAGTAACTAAAATAAATTTTTTCTTTGTTGACCTAAATAGGAATTGACTTTAAAAAAAAAATTATTTTAGATTACTCGGTTTAAATAAATTAGCTCCGAATTATTAATTATAATACCGGAATTATTTAATTTATATGTGCTCAGCAACAGACAAATATTGTCATCTTACATTTGCTAAAATAATAAAAAAATACAATGATAACCTTTCTTTTTTCGTGTATTTTTATATAAGAAGCTTTCTTTCATTTAAACTTAATATCAGCTACTAAAATTAGTATTTCTCATTACTAAAAATGATCATTTTGCTAACCATTATTCAGTTCTAAGCAAAAGAATATATAATACTGTTCAATTATCATTCAATTATTATTCAAAATTTATTCAATTGAGAGAGAGGGAAAAGGATTCCATTTTAGTACATGATTTAAATATCTTTTGCATGGTCAGATATGAATTCAATATTCATTTATTATTCAAAATTTCTCGATTTTTTCTACTTTGAAAATTATTCAATTTAAAAACTAATTAAAAATGCTTTTTATTTGATTATAAAATTTAGCTTGACAATTGCCGTACTGAAAATAAGCAGTTATATTAAAAATTATTGACATATTTTTTGTAATCCTGCTACAATTATTTGTTTTGAAAATTCTGAACATTTTACTTCAACAAATTTTATGCTCAAACAAATGATATTTTTTCTGCAATGCATCTGCCGAGCACAACCAATTATAAGTATAGAGTTCTAAAATTCAAATATTTTTTACTAGCCGTCTGATCCTCCTAAAAACATTTTTCCCTTCCAATGTATTCATAAAAAAACTGTAATCAAATTATGTGCATTGCTAAAAAAAGTGCTTTAATAACTACATTAGATTCTAGTAACTAAAACTATTACTTTACATTTACACAAAACCTACACGTTTATTATTTGCATATAGCAAAAAATATAAAATTGTTATGTGAGTACTGCAGCGCAAAACTATTTTTTTCCATTATAAATTTATAAAATTCAAATGTAAGTACTCATTTTAATTAATGTTACTTTCAAACAAATAATTCATATTTTGACAACCGTTTCTTAAGCAAGATAAAAAATATTAATTTATTTGAAACAAACACCTTACCTTCGCATCCAGGATTCCATTTGTCATAACTGTTAATCCAACCCCAGGTGCAAATCGCAATTGTACTCCAGGTCTAATAATTAAAGTGGCATCCCTTTCAATAATAATATCTCTGCGAACTTCATATGGAGAACTCTCCCAATTTAATTCTGTTCTGCTAGAAATATAACCGCCGAAGTCGGTCGAGCCAAGCGCGGGGTTTTGAAAACTTGCAAAAGTCAACAAGAAGACCCACCACACACCCCCTATAAAAGACATCATGATGTACAGTTCACCACTAGGCGGGGGACCATTCACCACAACAACACACCTGAGGATTCGAACAATTAGGCTTAAGAAAAGCTCTCTCTCGGTTATTCGAATATGACCGTAAAATACGATGAAAAAAGGGGGATCCTTGACACAAAACGCTGTTCTTTTCCAAATTTTCTTTCTCACATATTGTCGCTCCTTTGATCATTCGAACTCCCACCAATAGCATTCCCCTATTCACTCTTTTGAAAACCGTCCGAAACTTCTGACCAAGGGTGGAGTTCACTACTTTACAAAGTGTTGTTACCTAACTTTTTCATTTTTTGACGCTTGTCTGCAAAGTGGTTTCTGAATCGAAGGGTTGCCATACTTACCTTGAGCGCCAAATAGTATTTATTTTTTTTCGCCAAATGCGCGGCGAATAAGAATAGTTATGTTAAAATACGAGACCAATAATACTGTTTAAGAGATTTACACAAATTTTAAAAAACGATTTTGTTGAAGAGAAAAGGTTTCCATTTTAAAAGTATATGCTTTAAATACCTTTTGCATGGTCAGATATGAATTCAGTATTCAATTACTCTTCAAGCTCAGATTATTTGAAAATTATATAAATATGAATCAATTCAGTACACGCAATGAAAAAAAAAATAAAATTTACAATTATAATATTTGTGACAATTACATAATATTTTATAACTTTAATCTTAGCCAATTCAAAAACTTCGCTTATTTCATTAGAAAACATTGTCTTCACTAAGAGGATCTCTGAGGGATAATATTGTTTAACGATTAAAATAAAAATCAGATGTTTTTGCCATTCGACGAAACTTAGGATCTTTCATTTGTTTATCATAAAAGTGCTCTCTCATCATCGTAACAATGTATATCGTTAAAAAAATAATTTCATCTGATCTTTTGAAAAATACTTAATAGCAAATATTACATATCATTAGAAGAAAAATCCGTTTGTAAGAGTGCAGAATCTGTCCACAGCAAAATTTCTAATTCGAATTCTAATGAACACTGTCGTTCACGTCAAAATAAGATCTATATAGTATTAAATAAAATTTTGCAGTAATATAGAAATAAATAAATAAATAATGTATATTTCAGTTTTTATTTATTTTGAAGTGCACTCCTGATTTTCAAACGGAATGAATACACTTTGTAAGCTCTTGCAGTTCTTCTATTTATTTACCAGACCATTAACAAATACCAAATCTTTCAAAGTATAAATTGAAATCCTTTGTGTATATTTCTTTTTCTTCTTCTTATTCTTAAGTACTCTTCTTCTCTGCCCTTCCCTCAGTGATAAAACACTTTGTAATATTTTGTTGCTTTTCTGTTTATCGTTTTATTTTTAAAAAAGACATGAACAAACTTTGGATCTTTCAAAAACTTTTTTTTAATTCATTTTTATTGAGTAATAAAGAAATTTCATTTATTTGTTTTATAATAAAATTCCCTTCTAACCTGTTAAATTTTAATCTAAATTCTTAAAAAGCTAGTTTATTTTATTTCAGTTTAGTTTGCATCATGAATTTTCTGTCATTGTTTCAATATAAAGCTTTGAAAAGAAAAATCAAATTTCCGATTTCGGCAGAACATTACTAATTCATCGCGAAATTTGTTACAGCACTGTAATTTGTAGATTACGTGCTTCAAAAAAAAATTTTTAGGGCTTACCATTCACATAGAGCAGCAATTTGATACTTAATTAAATAACAGCATCATTAAATTTTTCTATTAACAGTTTTATATTATTTCACCCAAAATTTGAGAGTACTTTGCTCTCACAGTATTAATTAAGTTATACCGATTAAAAGGGGAAGGAATTGAAAAATATAATTTGAACCGAACCTGAAGATTTTCTCATTATATTCTAAATTTAATCCATTAAAGATAATTCATTATTTAATAAAGTTCATAGATATTGTCGTGTCTTGAAAAATGATGGACGAAAAGAATGGACTGAATCTTATATGCAACATTTATTGCTTTATCAAGTGTAGCACTGTGGGAAATTTAAGCACTTTAACCTATCTTCCTTCGCGCATTCTAGGGCTTCGTCATTCAACAAAGTATTATATCTTAAATTTAGCTTTCGCCTTTCGTCAGTCCGTTATCGATTTACAAATTGAGCATATTAAGTGCAATAAACGCACTTCTTAAAAAATTTGTTTTAATAACATATCTAATCGCTGCAATTAAAACACATTTAATTTATAATCCACAAAACTGATGATCTTAGCATTACCAGGTTTACTGTAATTCCTGTTACATAATTGGCATAAAATACTTTTTTATGATGTCTATTCTGAAATTATTATTTTTAGGATGTCTCTCTATTTTTTAATGGCTTATGCATTTGTGGTATTTAACCCCTTAAGTATGCAGAATATATTAAAATCATAGTCCGCTGTTTCATTTCTAGATTAAACAATATAAATGTTTTGTATAACTGAACATTTAACAGTTTTTCTATCTTCTAGCAGCTTTTCTCTTCTATCTTCTATAGCAGCTTTTATCTCTAATTATTGCGTCAATTAATTTTTTTTTAACTACTGCAATCCAAGTTAAATATAGAACTCTGGTTTTGAAACTTGAAAAAATATTTCCGAAATCGTATTTTCTGCAGAAATACATAAAACAATGCAACATTATGCTTTATTAGGAAAAATAAGCAATAGAATAAAATCACTAAAAATTAGAAAAGAAAAAGTTTCGAAACATTTCCCATAATACACTAATCGCGTTTTGCACACCTCCACAGATATTCTGTTGTTTTACCTAACACGCAATTATTCATAAATATAGATTAAAAAAAAAAGTTAAGGAAAAATTCTGAAAGATTTCAGATTTTAATGTTTCCCTAAAACGGATTGTTAAGGTTTTTTATGCTCTCGCTGAGATCGCAGTCTACTAGCCTGCTGTTGGACTGACTACTGCTAACCACGCACCCCCCACCCCCATTTTTTTTTTTTTTTTTTTTTTTTTTTTTTTTTTTTTTTTTTTTTTTTTTAGCTTTATCATTAAGTATCAATTTCTTCGCCTTTACACCACCAACAAAATCACGAAAATTTTAAAAGTAGCATAGCAAGCTATATTGAGAATTCCCGAAGCAATATTAAGTGTTGCCATGCAATTTTATGTTTCTTTCAGTCTTTTCTTAGTTTATCATATCAATGTTCAGTTTTCTTAGTAAGATAGCTCACAAAAGTTTTCTTTTGTCTCTTTATAATTAACGTTTTATGTTTTAACTTTGTTTATAAAATATCACTTTCTTAGTCGTATAAAATTCACTTCAATAGCAAAATGACAAAATATTTAAAAACAGTATATCTTTAGAATTTCCGACAAACAGTCTCGCAGGCTGGAGATAAAAATGTTTTATTCCGTGCAGTGTTTACAATATGAAATAGATAATAAAATTTAATCGAAAATCAAAATTGGGGCGTTTACGTTCGGATAGAGTACTACGTCGGGTAAAATATATAAAACAAATTCCAAATTCGGGCTTCCAGGTCTCTATATTCAAGTGAAGGACTACGGTATTCAAAATTTGATGACTGTAAGAAACTCATTTTTTCACTGTGCGAGAAACATATATACATATTGATGCAGATCCTTCGTTATGTAACTTCTTTAAAAATAACGCAGGACGATTATATTTGGTGGCAAAAATTTGAAAAGTGATACGCAATCTATAATGAACTAACGCAAAATCCCGTTTCGAAACTAATAGCCACTTTTGGGCTAATAAGCCTAATATTTAAGCCAGGTACATACATTACACATTTAATAAAAATCTTCAATAAAACATATTGTAAACTTAATATAGTTTGATTTACATCAGTTGGACATAAAAATAAAATAAAGACTTAAATCATTACGAAGTGCGTTTATTACTTTTAAATCGCCCGCGATTACAAAATTCATAAAATTTGAAATGCAAATTAGATGTTTTATGTGTTGCAATTTGGCATACATGACATCGATAAAAAGTGGATGGGCGGGAAGCTACAAGGAGAAAAATAAAATATCTAATATTCTGCCACATTGGCACCATTTGCTATTGCGAGGGGGTGATGTATATGCATGACATCGCAACATAATAACCATAATAGTCCAAAACGTTTACAAAGATTTTATTGAGATCTCATCTGACGTACAAAATGCAGTTTCAAAGTGTCATAGTCTTTCCGTCTGGAGTTAGAATGGGGCCAGTAGTTGATAATATTGCTGAAAAACTGAAAGGGAAGTGGGATGGGTAATATATTTCTATTCAGATTTACCCACGCAGATATAACATGATCTTATAGAAAACATATTATGTACCATATTTTATTAAAACTCCCAGACATTGTTGTTCATCTCTCAAATTATACTATTAAAACAAAAAAGTGTCACATTCTCCCATGTGTGAGATCACGTGGATTAAGTGGCTAACACATCCAGCCAGCTATAGCAAATGGTTGATCGGCGAGAATTCAAATCTAGGAGAGGACGCAGCGGATTTCTCTAGATTTCCTGTTTTGAAAATATCTTTGTAGTGCCACCGAACTAAAATGTGGTGGACGAAAATTTTAATTACTTTGATTTGGTCAACTGCGTCTCATAAACTCTTCCCAATCACTCTTTAAGAGAAGGGGAATTTAAGGAATTGTAGCATTCTCCTGTGCGTGCTGTCGGATTGTGAATGGTTAACACATCGTATTCACTATTGGATGATACGTGGTTCGAATCTCGGCGATGGATTTTTTATTTTTGCGGCCTCGAAAAACTGATAGTATTAAATTTACAACTAATTATCAGTACAATAAAATGAACTATTTAAAAAAAATGCGTACTTCTTAGTAATACTTTGATGCTTCGAATGCAATCAAGTTTTATTTGCAATAGTTTTCACTAATTAATTAAGCCTTTTCTATCACTACACGCCTCTGCTTATTGAATTTCTACTTGCTTCCAATGAAACCTAAAGATAGTGAGTGCAGTCAGAACCTGTTAAATCACGGCCACTTATCTGGTCCGCTTTAACGGATTCGGCCGCCACTTCTTGGAAAAAGCACTACGCGTTGCATTCTTTTAAAACATATTACACTGTATAGAAAATTAAGTTTAATAGCTGCACCGTTAATCAGGCTTTTGAAAGCTTCTGAATTTATGTTTTGATTAGCGGTTGTTATCTCTGCTTCGGCGATCATAGTCGTTCTGTGTTCATATGTAGAATATATATGTGAGATAAAATTTGAACTTGAATCTCTAAACCTCTTTTTAATTTGATTTTTTCCCCTTTCTGTTATGAAAATGGTA